TGAAGAAACCCCTATTTTGGGCACTGCTTCCATGATGACCATTTAAGGAAAATCATGTCACTTACTGTTCTCAAACTTACAGGAAAGAAACATGGGACTAAAATACAGCTTCAGTAGGCAATGCAGTCTGTTTGGTATTTTTATTTATTTATTTATTTATTTTGGCAGTTAAACAGTTTTTTGTGAAAATTTAATTTTTCACATATTGGCATTTTCAAGGTGTGACTTTAAAGTTCCATGATCTTGAAGACTTTTGCTTGTCACATTTTCTGAATGTCCATGTTACTAATATTTTATTAATAACATTTGATTGTCATTATGCTGTTAAACATTATGTAATGTTGCATCAAAATTTGAAGAAACCCCTATTTTGGGCACTGCTCCTATGATGACCATTTAAGGGAAATCATGTCACTTACTGTTCTCAAACTTACAGGAAAGAAACATGGGTCTAACATACAGCTTCAATAGGCAACGCAGTCTGTTTGGTAAATTTTTCTGGCAATTTAACAGTTTTTTGTGAAAATTTAATTTTTCACTTATTTGCATCTTTATTTTCTGTTCTTTGTCTGTACATTTGTCAGCTTTGCTGCCTTGTTTCTGTGTAATGTTTGAACATTTGACAGCTTTGCTGTCTTGTTCTGTATGGTGTCTGTATATTTGCAAGTTTTGCTGTCTAGTTTTTAGTTGAGTTTGTTTTGCATATGTCTGTTATTCTTAGATGAAGCCAAAAGAAGGTGAACCATTGGCAGTGTCAATAACAACATCGGATGACAGACACTTGGAACAAATACTGCTATTCTTAGACATAGCTGTCAGATATGAAGATCAGCATGCACTGCCTGTGACATCTGAAGAAGTTGAACAGGTGTTCTTTCAGATTTCATGCTCTTAAGCCCCAACAGTTACTCCTTTTATAACAATATTGTACTTATTTTCTTATGCTTTTTAAATAGGATATTTACCTTGTGGCAAGACCTGTCCTTTTAGCACTTAGAATGCAATTTTAATACTTATTAGACTGAGGCATACTTACACTTTTAGACAGTTTGTTTTTATTCAGAAATCTTTTATTTTGATAATGGCTGATAAATGATGTATTTGTTAGGGAGAGGATTTGGGACCTTACACACCACTAGAACTTCCAGCTGTGAATGAACTTTTTACAGCAATTGTCACACAGGTGGATGCAGTTGATAAGGTGAGAATCAATGGAAGCATTATCTGTTGAACATGTGAGTAAGAAAATTTTAATTCAGTTGTATTGAGGATAAATAGTTATGATAATGATATTTCTAGTCTAAAAATTACAGGTAAAAAGGGTTTTACTAAGGTACTTATTCTCATAATGAACAAGAAAGTTAAAGTTGAAAGTTGGCATAAATTCATCGCTTAAAGTCAATCATTTTTGGTAAGGTGAAATTAATAAGTTCTTCTTTCATAAGGTTTTCTTCTGATGAATATTGGAATTAAATGTTTCTTTTAAGATGTACATCCAGAAGTGCCATGTGGAAGAGACAGAGGACCCCAAGGTGCACCTAGCAAACCAACAGCTGGAGGCCCTCCTCAGTATAACCATGGAGCTAAATGCTTCAGCTGAGAACTATCCTTCAGTAGAGACTATCAGTGAGGGTGAGTGAAATGTTGCAAATGTTTATTTGCCAGTTCTTCTTTTGGGAATGGAAAATGAATGTTGTGATTTTTTTTATTTTTTTTTTAATTGAGTCAAATTACAATTCTAAATAAAACTGTTTTGTGTAGTGAGATTTATTTTATTGGAAGTGCTGAAGGTCTGTTTTGGCTTTTGGCAGGTATGGCTTGTGTGGCCCAGTTCACTGCTGATGGCTGCTGGTACAGGGGCTTAGTTATTAAGGTGGAGGAGATCTGTGAAGCTGCAGTGCTCTATGTGGATTATGGGAACAAAGAAATCGTACCAAAGGAAAGGTCAGACATTGCTTGTTGTGACAATATTTTTCTCGTTATCAATTTTCCCCCTAATAGCTGAAATGAGATAAATTTGAACGGCAACTTGATTGTTGCACTATTTTGTAGTTTGGGCACCTAATGAAGTATACTCCAGTATCTTGTATTAAGTCGATGGTGTCTAATTCCTTTCCAATGAACATGTGAATCCAAGGGGTTGACTAAAAGGGAGTGATATGAGAATGTTCTGGAACCCAACTTGTTTGCCAAATATGTATATATTTGTTCATCTTTGTCTAATGTTTCAGATTACGTCATATCCCAGAAGAATTTCTCAGTCTCCCTGCTCAGGCAGCCCCTGTAAAGATTGAGGGCTTGATTTCTCACTCTATACATGCTGCAACTTTAGAAGATGTACAGCTGATTTCTAATGAACTTGGGGACAGTGTCAAGGTTGCTGTTGTAAAGGTAAGTTTGAATCAGTTTGAAGATAAAATGAAATATAAATTGCATTGTATTTCATATACATAAACTTGGAGTATGCTTAAAAATATGTAAAAACTTTCATGTAGATCACAACAATTTTAAGCCTGTTGTCATCAGCTTTAAAGACCAAAGGTTTAAACAGAAGGTTTAACAATGAATATTTTTGAAGAATTTTAAAACAACTTGTCATGACTTCAGGGGTGATCTTACTTATGTTTATTGAATATATAGGCCCATGGTTTGCCAGCCAGTATAGAATTATACACACACGTTCCTTGCCCTGGTCAACCTAAGCCATATGCGTACCAGTCTTTGATAGATCAAGGGATTATAGAGATACAGAGTGAGGAGAGGTAAGGACAGTTTAAAACAGGAGCCTCTATTTGTGTTCATCCAGTCGTATTTGTACATCAATGCCACAATAAATACTGAATTATGTAAAAAATGAAAGAACACTGATGCTTTTACTTTTAAGATGTAATGGNCCATCTGACACACACCTTGAAAACGGGTAGTGTGGTCTGATATACCGGTTTATTCAGGATCCTTAGGTGCCGAGTCTGGTAGTTGGTTAGGCCTGGAATCGTGTGATGCGTCTTAAGTAACTAGAGTCATTGACAGTATCAATAATTGGAGTAGATACCACATTGGTGCCAAAACACAAATGGTAGTAATCGATGAAAACCTGAACCAAATCAAATTAAGGAATAAAATGGGAATCAATTGACTATCATTTGATAGGGGGCACCTTAGGAACAATATTAGGTTCCACTGTGAATTTGCCGGTTCACAGGGAACACTTTTAATAGCAGATAACTTACAGAACCAATGGAATGAGCAACAGTCTTGGTCATCAAAATCGCCATATTTGAACCACATGGACAATATGTGGGTAAGCAATTACTCGCCGAAACAACGACCTATATGCCCTACAACAAAACTGGACCAAAGTAGACAAGTTTTGGCCGATGCCTGGAATGTTATTCCAGACTGAACTCTAAAAACCTATCCCAAGGAATGCCTTGCCGTTTGAGAGCCCTGGTGGCAACCAGAATAGGTCAGGCGTAACAACTGCTGTCACTAGACACTGACATGAGGCTCCTACGTGGGGCATGTAACTCTTTTAGAGACAATAATTAAGAAAATATGGAGATCTATAATATCATTTTAATGGTTGTCATATTTGGTAGAAAAGGCAATGTATTTTTGTTTGCTTCACTGGCGAATTCAATTAATGACATGATGTCACACTGACATCATAGAGGTAATTATAAGTTATTAAAACACGATATTAATCATTAATTTTATTTATCAGTCACCAAAATAGGAAAAAAAAAACTAATGAAAAATGATTTGGGAAAAAATATTCCATATTAAATGTCAGGTCTGTAGTTCATAAATTTCTACTATACAACATTACATTACCTCTACAATATAAAAACTAGACAGATTTGTTTGCAATAACTGAGTATCGGTAGTTAAAGGTATTGAAGCATGCACTGACTTGTCTAGTTTTTATGCCCTTCGTGCACGACCAGCGCATACTAATATTAATGAACGTACACACGAAAGATTGGCCCAAAATGAAAGTAAAAATCTAAAATGAAAAATGTCAGGCGTTGGTCTTCTACAGTGTTAAGGATTATTACTATTTATTATTTCAGTTACATATACTGGAACTAATACATGTATATCGTATTGGCGGACTATAAAATAATTTTTTGGACGATTCGTCTTCTGAATATTTAGCATCTATCTCAATTCCTTAGGTCATATTTTGCACTACCAACAACTAGTTTCAATGTCAAATTAATTTTTCGGGTAATTCAATAACGGGATTTATAAAAAAGCGACCTCCACTGGCCTAATCTCGAAGCAATAACCTTCATTGCTTCTATACATGATACGGATGATGTTGATCATATTTGTGGTAATAGGGGAAGGGGGAGACAAACGAAATGGATGCCAGCGCGAAAAATGATCCGAGGTTAATTTAACAGTTCCGAGAAGTGAATAGCAACCGTCAAATCCTTATATACTGAAGTCCAGTATAATCAGCGTTGTGAAAGCCTGACACGAAGTTGACGTAGATATGCTTAGTAGCAGATGAGCTGGGAAAGGCAGAATAATTTCATTTTTTTTTCTTTTTGTATAAACAATATTTGCAAAGACCTCAATATATGTCCAGTAACCATACACTCGGACTTTACAATATATACTTGCTATAACTGCATCATTTGACCTAACAATATATTGTGTTATTATATTAAGCATACAATCACTTTTTGGAAAATGAGTCTTTTATCAGTATAGAGAGCGTGGCTGCATAAAAGAACGCAGGTAGGCCTATGACTAAATTCATAAATAACTACAAAGAAAATTAGTAATATAGACGAAAATTATAAAATGGGTAGGCTACAGTGAAATCGTAAACATACAGATGAAACTTATCTTCATTTTTTTTGTTTTGTTTTGTTTTCAAATGAAGTAATTTTTCCGACGTTTAAGCCATATCAGCAGAACAGAATGAATGCTAGCACGAAAGTTGCACTGAAGTGAACATGTCCGTTCTTATCAACAATTATTATTATGCCTCTCACTATCTTTTTTAGATATAATTAAAATACAAGGGCAGCTCCGATCAGATAAAAAAAAAGAAAAAAAACTCACTGACGACATCAATTAATTGATTACTGGTGTAATAAACTGGCATATAATAGAAGCTTACTGACGTAATTGACTCATTGCTTACTGGCTCTTTGGTTACTGATAATAAATCAATTCCTTACTGCCGTAACCCTCTGTAAACAAGCAATGTATATAAATTGCTTCCGCCAAGGAGGTTATGTTTTCACCCCTGTTTGTCTGTCTGTTTGTTTATCATCAACATAACTCAAAAAGTTATGGACCGATTTTGATGAAATTTTCAGGGTAGGTGGGAAATGGATTAGCTCCTCGTTGTGGCTACGCACATCTGACATATTTAGACTTATAGTTATAGCTCTCCTTTGTAATTTTTAATTGGTCAGCTGGGAACTAAAGAGAACAGTCTATCTTATTTGCGACTGTAGCCGTCTGTTCACTTTCACTTTTGCAATTTATATACACGTGTCGTTAATATCACGAAAAAAATGGGAATCCCCACAGCTGCCATAGAAAACACAACTATTGGAATTGGCCTCTTTCTGTTCCAGTCTTCACAGCGAGATGAACGGAGCTGATATTTGGGTCCAATAAATGCACCCGGCCTAACAACTTTGGCAAACAAGTTTATATGTTGGAGAGAGCGCGATCGATCACAAAATATAAAAAAATATCGACAAACAAACGTATTACGATCCTCGTATGTGTAAACTAAATCATCACTTCGAAATTAAAAATAGGTTTCGAATCGTTTTTCTTTGGGTTGGATTATTCTTGTCCTTTTTAACGAAAATTTTATCTACACTTTTAAAGTCTACGAATTAAGGTATATTTTGTTGCTTAATTATGGATTTATATAATCAATAATCAACAAATAGGCAGTGGCATACACACATGTACCCAGCGGGTAGGGCCCATGAGGTGAGCTGTTCTTGACAACGTGGCATAATATGAGGATATGCGATGGCTACCCATCGACATCATGTAGTTGAAATGTTGTTTTTGCCACTATGTACTGACATTCAATGGAACCTTTTATGTTGCTGACTTACAGACCCGTAACCAGTGATTTCAAAGGGGGTCTTTTTTTTCCTTAAAATGATGGCCTCTTATCGCAAAAAAAAAAAAAAAAAAAAAAAAAAAAATTTAATTATTTCTGAGTTTTTTGTTAAATAAAACTAAGGCAATGCTTTTTATTTAAACATATTTAATTTGCTGAAAAGTTGTGGATACAATCTTTCATTTATAAGTGAAACATTCCCCAAAATACTTTTACTGTTATAAAAATAAAAATAAATTTTATTATAGAAAGTACAATACAAAATTCGTGATATCTTTCAATTTACCGGAACACGATAAATGATATTCCCCCCATATATATATATATATATATATATATATATATATATATATATATATATATATATATATATATATATAAAGGTGTAAAAGAGAAGCATTGCATCCAAAACAATTAATTCAACATTGCAAAAATGCAAACAGGGAGCATTTAGAAGTAAGATATATCAATTAAAATAAATGAACTAAACCTGATTTATTTCCGGTAATAAATATATAATTCCAAATCATTTTCAAAAAAAAAAAAAAAAAAAAAAAAAAAAGAGCATAGCCCGAGTATGCTGATTTTTTAAAAACTGTACCTGTATTTTATGAATATCCATCAGTTCCGTAAGTTTAAAGGCAGAAAGATAAACAGCTTTCCACTTATCGTGTTATCACTGAAAGAGCATAAATAAATGGTATAAATGTGGCTTTTTTTACCGCTATTTTGTATTTTCTAAACCATTAATCAAGTTAATTATGGTATCTGGAATAAAAAGGACTGTTTATAAAATTTTACACCCGTGAGATGATCATTTGCAAATAAAATCACATGGAATAGGGGGAGGGGACCGATGTTGTATATTTTAAACCAATCGAGTCCATAATTCTACCCACTGTGTCCTATAAAACTGCGGGCACCTAGATTCTAGCACAATCCCCCCCCCCCCCCGACAATCCCCCCGGACTATT